AACATGTCTAATAACCCCTCTATGCCAACTTTCAGCTGAATCTGTCGAATTTTGGAAATTTTTCCCTTATACCATATACCTACCATAAACTTCGCTGCGCCAGAATTTGACAGAACAGAGCTGCACTATTAGCTTATGTCATAACCAATACAATGACAAAATTTGAAAGCACCATGTTCAGTGAGAGGAAAGTTGTTGAAAGAGTTGCAAAACTTAGTTTCCAACCTAATGAATCCTGACAAGGAAAATTTGATCGAAGCAGCATTTCCATATAACACCTATATCACAAGATGCGCCTCTAAACGCTGATTACAAATCTGCTTCCCTTCTCTGCGAAACGACTTTTTGAAAGAAGCTAGATTGTTCAAATGTCCGGACATACCACGCTGTAAGTGGCACAAAAATTGACGGAACTGTAGGAAAGCAGCTGAAATAAGGTAGTCCATTTCGGTCAAGTATATCTATATACAGGGTGTCCCAAAAAATGTATCGAACATTTGATCTTTAATATCTCTCTTCCCAAGAAGTCTTTTGCCTTGCTTTAGGTACCGTTTTGTAGAGCTGGCTTCAACGTAGATTTGCATTATAAAACGAATCTCCCACCTCTCTTCATTGCTGTAGGATTACGGTAGAAACTTGAAACATATGGTGTCAATGTGGAAAAAGCTGCCATTTCAAAATTTTTCAGAAAAAGTGAAAACTTGTGTAATAGGGTTTTTATGGACGCTGAGTTTAATACTCAACTATTCACAAGATTACGAAGCTTTCTAAACGGTGTAACCGCACTTCTTAGGAACATTGAAAAAGTGGCCGCTACATTTTACCTGGCATAACTCTCCAATGAAGCATCATAATAAATTGGGAACTCTACAGTTACAATCAGCAACTCTAATTAGCCCAGTGTAAAAGTTTTCAGGCTGTTTTGTTTCCTTTCTGGGGCAAAATATGGCCTTTCATTGCTTAAAACCCTCTTTGAAGTTTCTAACGTAATCCTACAGTAATGAAGAGAGGTGAGTGATTCGTTCTATAATGCAAATCTAAGTTGAAGCCAGCTCTACAGGTTGATACCTGAAGCAAGGGAAAAGACTTCTTCAGAAGAGAGATATTAACGATCAAACGTTCGATACATTTTTTTGGGACACCCTGTATATGTATAACTCAAACACTGTACCTTTGTTCGCAAGGATGTTTGTGGCTTAAAGACTCTTTTGTATAGAACCGAAAAGGCTGAAAAAGGCTGAAAAGGCTCTCCCTCCTATAAACAAGCCACGGCGCAGAAGATAGGCTACTTTTCTCGACGACTCGCTGGGTCCTTCTATCGATTTATTGATTTGTTTGCTTACATCCAAGAAAATAAAAGCTCTTCAATTACCATCAAATCATTTCCCCAAGTGAAGTAGAAGAGAGCGGTAAAGACCATTTACATTTTGCGGCGAAGACGATGCGGTGTGGTCACGAAGAGAGGCGATCAAGAAGGAGGACAACAACTACGATGCCACGAGCGATGCAGTGCAAACCAGGAGCGAAACAGGAAGGAAGATGGAAAGGGGAACGAGAATTGAAATGAAGAGTGAGGGATGAATCGCGAGTTCGAAGACGTTTTGATCACTACGCCAGGTCAGTTGCCAATGCCCGGGCTGGACCGGGAATGTCGGCTAGTTAATTATAGAGAAGGAACACAGTCTGTGGAAATATGCGGTGTTTTTGAACGGCTTTTCTCTTATTTTATGCCACTTAGAGCATGACAAATTTAGACATTCAAACCCTCATAACTTCTTTCAATTAATTATTTCGAAGGAAAGGAAGACAGATTTATAATCACCCTTCGATGCTCTACAAAGTGACATAGGTGTTATCTGAGAGAGCCACTTTGACTAAAACGGCTTCCTTTGTAAGTGCAAACTGTAAGCAACTGTCCAAAGGATGCATTCACGAACTTTGCTATGCGTGTAGATTTAGGTGATAGTACTTTCCCCAGAAAATGTGCCAAATAAGGTCTTTGAATGCCAGCGCACTGGATGAATGCGTCTAACTTAGCGCTTCATGTGGAAAAAAAACTGCTATTTTCCTCTAGCTTAAGACCTTGTTGGAAAGTTTTTCAGCTAATATATGTCCAATGCTACGTAGTCACTTTCTTTAATGCATAGATAATGCCATGAAATAGAAGGGTCTTCCTTCTTTTCTTTCTAAGAACCCATTTTTCCAGAGAAAAGATTGTGAAATCATAAAATTTATTTAGTAAAACTCTATACACAATCTTCTTGATGTCTTATATCTCATCCGCAAGCACGTTCATCCCGCACAACAATGAGTTATGCACAATCGAGATTTGATTAGCAAGCTCGTCCCTCAAACTTGGTAACTCGCCCGTAGAAGCGTCTGCCATGTCATTGAGCTGAAATTCACTTTTTTTTCGGATCAAATGAAGAAAAACGGAAAACTTACAACTTTGTACACTTGCTGCATCACCGAACTTGAGTAGCTGTCACTCTTGCTTACTGAAAATAGCAGATGCCGAGCAGCAGGATCGCCCGGGACTCCTCGTGGATTCACAAAGCAGCGTTCGAAACTGAAAGAATAAAATGACAGTTCATTGGGTTCGACAGGTGGTGCCTTTCCGGTGTTGACAACACTTGCGCGTAAGAAATGGCAACGAGACGAAAAGACTTTAGTATGGGTGTTCTTCAACCATTTTTTGAGTGCAGGTTCTCGGCATTATAAGCATGGAATTTTCCTTCCCGCGCAAGTGTTGTTAGCACCGCACATGCACCATAATATTCAAAAATACGTGATTTGAATCACCAACTAGACTGTTGCTTACTTTATAAGTTTATCGTTGTAGCGGCTTCTGAAGAGAACGTCCTCAGTTCGGGGCACACGAAAACTTTCAAAGAGGCCACAAGCGTCCACTAATTTCTTAAAATAAACTTTAGAATTCGTAAATCCGCAGAAGCGTAAAACGACGATCTTGAATCAAGCCTATAACAATTATATAAACTTTGATTCAACTGGATTGACAGCTGAAAGGCGAGGCTTTGTGACCTAATTATGCCCGCTCGCGCCCGCGAGGCATTCTGCGTCTCTCTCGCGATCGTGCTCTGAATCAATCTCTAGCCTCAACTAGGTCACAATGCCCCGCCTTCCAGCCGCAAATTCAGCTGAATCGTCAAAGGGTACCCAGAATAAGCATTTATTTGAAAAACGGATCATGTCAAAAAAGTATGTGAAATTTAAGTTTTCAAGATCATATTGAAGCGGTACTTTTGTACCGTTACAGTAACCTACGAAGACTACAAGCCGAATTATATCCCGCCAAACAAGTTATACCCCTAGTTCCGCAAAAATGGAGTGTTAGAAAAACATGAAGAACAGGCTAGCATCGAAATGGCCAAGCGGATCACAATATGATACCGTGTACTACTGCATCTTGCACGTAAATATGAACATACTTGAGCTGTGTTGGCCATTTGTTTTAGTTGTTTGTATCCAGCATCGGTATAGGAGGTCATATCCAATGACATTATTGCTCCAGCCAAATCCGTGATATAGTCTCGTTCAATTTTAGTAGCGAGGGTGGTTAGGCTGAAATATCATGGTCCAAACGAGATGTATGACTTATGCCACAAGATGTTAGATGGTGCTAGAGGACATAAGTTCATCTGACATGAGTTCTTTATGTGGAAACCATTTAAGTCTTAGCTATCCATCGCAACGTCACCTCCTTCGACTCATTTGCAGCCGAGAAATTCGACTCTGAACTTCAGCATATACCGTAATCGAGAACGACTGATCCGTAGAGGTACGGTAGGGGGCGGAGAATATCAGTGAATATATCGGCTAGTAATGAGCCCATACTGCGGCTTGAGCAGTAGCTTAGGTTCCCGGATAAAAACCCAGATCCCCAAATTTGCGTAGACACTGCCTCGAACTCTTACCTGTACGGTATCGTGGGAGCGTCCGCAATCTGAACAGCCAGTTCGATCCAGAATTGCCCCATGGCTCGGTGCATCTGAAAATATTAGCACATTTCCCATTCACATTAACCGAATCTAAAAAATGTGACCGTCCCTGACTTACAGCGAAATTGTCGGTATCCATCAAATGCTCTGTAGTAAATGGTGTTTCGTACAGAGTGTGGTAGAGCGGATAAGTATGATGCTTATCCATGTCAATAAATGCGAAATTTACAGACGGTACACCTAAAAAACATGCTATACCAAAAACAATCAATATATCGATTGATAGTAAGAACTTCCCCAAATAGTCGAGGAACGCTTTTTGATCCGATCCACCCATAGGAATACCAATGTCAGGAATATCAGGGTACTTGGGGTCCTTCATATTGTACAGCCTGAATCTCTTCGATTACCGTAAATCAATAAATCGATTATTTGCTACCATGTATCATAAACTGTTGATCGATTAGCTGCAATCTCATCTTTTCTGGGATTCTGAACATTTTTAGCGGCTTGGATGGCTTGGTCCTGCAGCGAAGGTGAACTTTGCAGATATCTGGAATAATTTCGATAGGCGATTGCTCAGAGGGTGCTTTCTGAAGTACAGTATTCCTACAGAGTTGTATTGCCCTTGAAACAGTCCTGGTTTATATAGGCCACTGCACGTCTGGTAAGAATTTCAGCAAATTCTTCAACAAATTCCGTTGAGCCAACAAGACCGTACTCCTCGGCATCCCAAGCGGCAAACATTATTGAACGCGCTGAAATTTGCAGTATTTGAAAATGCCGCCAATCATAGCGCGGCGCCTCCGATTGGTCAGCGGTAGGCTGCGATTGGTCAGGCTTTGAGCTGGGCGGAGCAAGAGTCTTTTATACAGTACCTGGACGCCAATCTGTCTGTGACATCACTTCTACCGTAGCTCTAGCAACCTCAGCCAGAACTGCGGTCCCAGCATTCGGGTCCATAGCACCGTAAGTCCAAGCATCGTAGTGATTCCCTAATATTACATAGCGTTCCGGTTCCTCTGCACCTTTTATGTAACCAATAACATTTTGTATCTCTCTGGAACAATTGTGACAGTTGTCTTCTCGAAGAAATCCCAAGAGGATCTACCAAACCTTTCCTCAAAATGTCCACCAACAGAAATTCTTGTTTTGAAGCCATTGGTCAATCTTGGTCCCAAATTATATGGGACATTCAGACCTCCTAAAAACGCGAAAATAGAGAGCTCTTGTATCGGAACACTCTACCGACCTTTCCATGCCTCAGGCGCCGCAGGTCCACCTAATCTTGAAAATAATTCTTTAGCGGATGAGTACGAAATTGGCATTACTGGGATAGATGGAAGTATACCGTCTTTGCGAGCCTAAAATGGACTATATGGTTCGTTCTCACTTGTTCTTGATGTGAAGCAAGTGGGGAGGGAGAGAACAAATTTCCGTAGTTGAGGGGGGCAAGGTGGAGGAGAATTTTTTTGCAAGGCTATTGATTTTTTACTCAATGAAAACAAAAAACATTATCCTTCTTTTGCAAGTAGAAATAATTCATTTGCATAAATGTATAACTGATTTAGAACATAAATTCCTCGTTCCATTCTCCAGGGGTGAGGGAGGGGGGGAGGGGAGGGAATAGTGATAGCTACCTGCTCAACGGATCCGGCTCTCCAAAGATTCGGTTTTGATGGGTAAAGAGGCGATTGAACATCTCCAGTCTGTGTGATTACCGTACCACGCTGTACACCATGAGCCGGCATGTATACGGTACCGGCGTAAACGCTACCTAAAGAGTCTAGAAAATGTTGAAGAGGAGAAGAGGGGGGGGGCAGTGCCCGTTACCCAGGAGGCAGCTCATATAACCCATTTGTGACCCAAACTCCCGCCCTACCGTACTCGTCTCAAAAGGACCAATCAACGTGATCGAGTACGGTAATGGGCGAGAGTTTAGAAATAGATTTCTTGCTTACAAATGAATCATGCAATCTGCCGCTGGGGCAGGGGCTCCTCAAGTTTTAGCCATTATACACAAAAGAAAGTTGCATATATCAAAAGCAGTGACTCGGGGAAGTTGCAATTACGAACTTTCATTTCTCCTTGGCCTTCTGGATGTGCTGAGTCCAAGGCTGTGCTTGAAAAGTCGAAATTGCATTTCATAACGTTTTCCGGCCTGGAGATTGCTGAAGGGGATGGGCGAGCGATCGCCAACTGAGTCGCAATTGGCTGCCTGAGCTGATCAGCCAATTGCCGCCAAAATGGGTGGAGTTACAGTATCCTGCAGCGAGTCGCTGTTTTTGGCGGATATCCCTCGCCCAGTCCCCTCAGCAATCTTCAAGGATGAAAAACACCGAAAAAGCAATTTTTTGAATTTTCAAGCACCGTCTCGGCTACAGCGGATCCAGAAGGCCATGTAGGTGCGAAAGGCTCGCACTCGCAATTTTCCCGGGCCACTGCCTTTAAGCCGAACAACCCTTTCACTTACCGTCAGCAGTCCCATTTGGAGCTACTTCGGCAGGATCGGAATAGAGAATAGCACCAATGGCGCCATATTTTTGAGCAGTAGCCACCTGATCTCCACGGAACATGCTACCATATCGAATGAGAGCTATGGTATTCTGAAATCATTGGTATCAAATAAGGAAGTCACAAAAAGTGAAGGTTTATGAAAACCCACCTTCACGTTGATACCGTGGCTTTGGAGTATCTGAAACTCTTTCTCTGTAGCAAATCCGCAGTAAACCACATCTCCAACTACCGTGCCACTAGGAGAGAAAGCCACCCATTGTATACCAGCGCCTAGAAGCTATTTCACTTTCTCTTTGAGAAAAAACACGTAGTTAAAATGACCTTTGTCACTTTGCTCATCAAGAACGATAGGTGGGCTGATTCCTTCACTTGTGAAAATAGCTTTTCCATCGTAGTCCTCAATCGTCATCAAGTTCGGATTCGCTGCATCCGGAGGATAGGAAAGGAGAACGTTGTATTTTACGGTGTGAACATCTAGAATCGTAAGGTTGTGCTTTTAGGAATATTTTGATCAGAACCGTTGAATGTAGGATCTTTCCTGGTATGTTTCACATCTGTTTTCTATTTTCTATTTATTCAAAACGCTCGAAGCGTGACATCAGTTACTATATGATATACCTAAAAGATTAAGCAACAATAAGAGAAAAGCAAAGATACCTACAATTTTTTCAGACCAGCTTATTTACAAATTCGAGAAAAAGCAAAGGGACGATTAATCAAAATAAAAAAAGAGAAGAGAAAAACCCTATTATCCCGCCCCCTAATAGAAAATTTTACGTAATAAGGCACCAGTTGCAAACTTTTTCGGTTGGGGAAAGCAGGCACGAAAATTCTCCTCAAGAGGGACATTACGGTTGCCATGCTCTCTGGTTTTTTTCTACAATATATCTTCGAACTATCACACACTCTCCGAAAAAACTCCTTTTAAGCAGCCAGTTGGCACCAAAAATTTTTACGAAAAAATTATCGAGCCACACCATTTGCAATACTTTTATTTTTTAATACATGGAGATTAGAGAAGAAAAGTATGAGGACTTGACGTTTAAGTTAAAGATTCATTTTGTAAACGTACTTTCCAATCCTGCGTCAATATACTTCTCCACGATGGATTTGCGCACTTTGGCATTGTTGTCCGTTCCTGCCATATGTGGCAGCTTTGTAAAATCTCGAAGATTCTGTTTTATACGATCAGGATCGATACGGCTCTGGATCATTTGTGAAATCGCTTTCGAATCGGTAGCTATAACGACTTGTTATTTATCACATTAGATAAATTCGTCTTATTGAGATGAAGTTTGGCCCACCAGCGCGGGTAGTGGTAGACATGAGAGTAGTTTGAGCCTTACTAGGAGGTGCATTCGTAATAGAACAATCTTTGGACGAGTTACTCCGAGAAATCCCAACTCCAAGCATAACCGATCCAGCTATGGCCAAAGCAACGCCTATAGCCAGCACCAGGTAGCTAATTATTGCGCGCATCTGAACCCTTTAGCTTTGAATATTTTACGATGTAAAGTGTTTATGAACTAACCTCCATTTCCGTTGTTGTTTCAAGATGGTTCGGCGCGAAATGAGCTGATAAGGTGGACTTGAGAGATAAGTGCAGAGTTTGTGATCGGTGATTCAATGTGCTGTCCGATCTCTAAACCTTCTGATCTAAAGCAAACAGTATGAAAGTGGGAGCAATCTTTCGTTTTCTAGAAGTTCACCACAGCAAATTTGTTTTCATATAGAATTTCACCACATCACTTGAAACGTTCTTGTCAAGAACGTTTGCAAACGCTGATTCGCACCGCGCTTACTCATGCTCGCTTAACTCAAAGCAACTTTTATTCTGGGAATAATTGATATTACCCCTAGAATGTGCTCATCGCTGAAAGCAAAGATGAGAAGTACTCCACTGCTCACGTTGGTTTATGGATAGATGCATAGATTGAAGAACATTTTTTCAAAGTTCTGAAAAGACCGTTTTTGATTCTTCTAGCTTATAGAATTCTTTGGGTTTTGTGGTAATTCAATATGAGATGATGGTACTCCCTACACCTTGCAGTGAGCCTTGGGGGAAATAAGTTTCTCTTTGGGCTGTGAAACTCCTTTGTTTACAAGCACAAAGTGCAAAGTCTTCACGTTACCAACGCACGGTTCACTGAAGAATAAAGGAGTGCTGAAAGCTCTATGAATCCAACAGATGAGGGAACTGTTCAAACTTCCAAGGGAAGCTCTAGCTACTCTGTTTAGTATAGAAACGTTGCGTACCTTCCCAAATCTTCGAAATGAAAATGTAGAGGCGGTCGTTATCATGCATTAGCGGAAAGGTCCGGAGAAGGCAAATGACTTCTGCATCCAAAATTCTTCAGAGTCTAAGTTTGAATCATAATTAGTTCTAATTCGTCACTCCTTCATTATAAACGAATAAAAGCGCTTATCGAATAAGAAACAGAGGTTGATTGTGATAGATTCCACATACAATATTGCTCGCAGCCTTAATCTGAACGAGGAAATTTCACGGAGATAAGCTCTCATATGAAACACAGGTATCGTGCAGACATAGCCTTTCATTTTGATGCTGGTCAAGATCATGAAGTCCTCAACTTCTACATAACCCACTTCACTGATGAAGTTTACTAAATCGCTCCTAAAATCATGATCAAAATCATATTGATTCCATTTGCACCGGAAATGCTTTGAAATCCCTTTTCCCTTAGCTACCAATTTCTGATTATGACAGTAATCCGCAATGTGTAAATGCTACATTCACAGATGGTTATACTGAAAGGTTTCGTAATAAGGCCGCTCTTAATGACGCCTTTCATTATTCAAGGGAAGTTCGTCAAATTCCGAGCGGAGGACACCAAATGCGATTGATCTAAAAGACTTAAAATGGTGAGATATTGCACTGCATGTGCTTACGATTAGAACTATGGTAATCAGATAGTGTAAAAGCAGATCAAATTTAGAAAGATTTATTAAGTCGGAAAAAAGATGTTGTTCAATGGAAAACTACAGCACGAAACCGAGAAAAGATATGAGGGGACCATACGATAGAACGGAGCACACAAGATGACCTTAAACATTAGCATAAATGGTGGTTAAGGAAAATTTGAATCTATGAGCAATGCACGACGCGAAAACTTGGATTTTTTTTGGAAATTCGCTCTAGAAAATCATATATTTTCTCTCTTGCTTCTGCTTATAGATGGACTCATCCATATGCGCAGGTGCTGGATTTTTCTCCCATCGGAAGCCAAGAAAGAATGGATAGAAAAATGCTAAACTCCTCTTATTAGCGTCCTAAGTTTCCCCCATATATGCAGTTATGTACCAAGAACCCTTCAAAATTTTACCCACAAAATGTAGACTGCTGATGTGATGTAGTTCTTGGGAAATATCAGTTTCAGCCGAAAACATGGTAAAAGCGAGTCTTTCTTTTCGACGCGATAGTGTCAATCATTCAGTGGAATACGCTCTATGTGAAACTTCTCTTTTTTTTACTCGGTACAAGATTGGTAAATGTAGTCTGGGAAATCTGTGATTCTTTGAGCAGAGTATCAATACAATACATGATTTACAGTGATGTGCTGCACCAGATCTGATTACAAATTCTCACCGTCGATCTTTATCAATGGAAGAACCATCTTGAACAATCTTTACAAAGTTATCAAGCAACTCCATCTTTGTAGGGATACTCAGCTTTTAGTGTGGAAAAAAATGGCAAAACACTGCCAAAACTAAATACAGCATATCTGACTAGCTGATAATGACAGATCAGTCGGTTTTCACAAACTGTTATAGAATCTTTTTGATCACAAAAGAAAGGCAGTGGTCAAAGGCCGGCATTTTGCGTGTGTAAATTTTTGCTAAGCTCTCGCCTGTACCCGATCTTCATGTTGAGAAAATTATATTTGATCTTGAAGAACATTCAATGCGCACAATAAAGAATTGTGTACGATTGATATCTGATTTGCCAGCTCGTCACTCAAGGTGGGCAGCTCATTTGTCTCACTGGTTGTGGCGGCAATCATATCACTCAACTAAAATGGTATAATTCGTTATTATTTCCAATACTGGCGAAAAATATTAAAATTTACCACTTTGTAGACTTGCTGCATCACAACGCCAGAGTATGTGTTGGTTGTACTCACTGAATATAACACATGCCGAGCCGTCGGGTCTTCTGGAGTACCCCGTGGATTTACAAAACAGCGCTCGAAACTGAAAACTGGGTTATTATTAGGTTGGCTAATAAATAATTTCGGTCGCTTTTTCAGCTCTTACAAATGCTGTAGACAAATTTTTGTCCAATGTTTGGTATCTCTAAAAAGAGCACTTCACCGAGTATTGGAGCATATATTCTGTTTGAGTAAAACTTATCTTCCCAGGAAAAAAATCCGCAAAAAAGTGAAAAATCGCAATTTTTCCATAATGCGCAAATATGAGGAAATTTGGTTTTCTTAGCGAAACATTTTCAAAATGGCAGATCATACTTCTTTTTGTTGTTCACTAGATAAAAATAACTCCTCTGTATTCAAATACCAAACTGCTGTTCTCTACATCCATTAGAGCATGAAAACGAAGCTCAAGAAGTCAAAGAAATGAAATTTCGCCATGTTGAGACATAACTGTTTTTACCGACGGTAGAAAATCTTGATTATTTGATATGTGATAGAGAAAGCATCGATCTACTTTCCCACCAAAAATCGTAGATTGAAAACAACAAGAAATTTTTTTATGGCAATTCGTATGCAAAAACGAACTTACTTTCTAGCCAACCTAATACTTCAGTTGTTTTGTTTATTGGAAGTGTTAGGGTACCGCATAATTTTTTACCGTTTTTACCCTAAAAGCAGCTTTTCGAGAATTGGGACACCTTCAAAGTTTACAAATACATCGTTGTACTTCTGTATGTATGAGCTTTATGATCACGTGCAGGAGGAGCTCAGGATGTCTAGGGGCGGAGTTTGCCATTTTATCCCGCTCATTTTTTCCTTATTTCTAGCCATGGAAAAAAGACGGAAATAGCACAATTGAATGTGCGATGTGTCAAGCATACACTAGGATAAATGGGGAATTTTTACGACATTTTGAGTGGAGATAAGATTTTTGAACGAAAAGTTCGTTTTCGACTGCTGTCAGATTTCAGCTCGAAACTTCCGGTGAGATACGATTTGGGCGGATTTCTCATAGCCATCTTGCAGAGCTTGCTTTGCGCTGTCGAGTGATCACTTAAGCCACATTAATTGAGGGAAAATTGAATAGAGACCACGATTGTATGTAGTAAAAACGGTAAAAAATTACGGGACACCCTAATAACTGAACAAAAAAACTCGCTTAATGAGCATATCATTATAACGAGTCCTGATCAACGGCTCCACTGTCCTGGGAAGTGGAGACGATTCCAAGAGGAAGCAGCTGTTCAAAAGATCCTAAAAATATCAGTTGAGCGCTTAGGAACTTAAAACATAAAAATTTTGAAGGCCCAGGAAGGCTCTACATGACACTCACCCCAGCTGTAGTGGTCATTTGCTTCAGCTGCTGAAGACCAGAGCCCGTGTAGGCAGTCAGATTCGTTGATATTATTGCTTCAGCCAGACCCGGTATGTAATCTCGCAAGATCTTTGTCGATAGGGTAGTAAGACTAAACATCGTGATTTGTCATATTTTACTGCTTACAGATGAGAAAGTGATTGGTTCAGGAAAGGAGACTGTACTATGTAATTCATTTACCTTTTCTATATAGAAAAGGTAAATGAATTGTAGTCTTCATTCCCCTTAAATTACATGGAAGTCTACTGTATTAAGCACTCGAAGTATTAATCTTAAAAGAAAAAAAAACGATTGCTAATCCATGGAAAATAAAAGTTGCAAAAGGTTTGCATATCGTAGTATTATGTAGAGAATTTTGTGATGGGTCCACAGGTAATCTTTGCTCTAGCTATCAGTCAGAGATATGAAAGAAGCAGTGCGGTCCGTGTGGACATATTTCGAAGGATGAGATATGTAAAAATTAGACATATTGAGTGATGCTGTGTAACATCGAGAAGCTTCCAGAGTTTGAAGTAACTCTCTAGCTAGAAAAAAGGTGAAAAGCAAAAATTCACCACTAGAGCACTGAGGACTAGACGGACAGGATAGGTTGGATCCTTGTGTTTTTATATTTTTTTGGACCACGATCATAATCAGAAGATTTACATCTTTCTTTACGAATGATTCAAATGACAAATAAAATAGTGCCTGGAGTTATGAGGTTTGTTTACTTCGAAATACATTTTGCAGCTCTCCGGAACACTATAAGGAAGCCGGGTTCAACTACGATTCTTTGATAGCGCTGTGCTGCACCTTGTTACTCGGAATTCCAGCCAAAACATGCAACAAGTTCCTACTTTATTTTGTGGCGACTGTTATGCAATTCAATACTATTTTAGCAGTGTGGACGGAGGGAGAGAAGTTCCTCCCCCCTCCCCCGCCTCCTCCCCCTTCCG